CGGCATTCTTCCTGGTGTGATACAAGACTAAAAAAGAGGGCATAGTTCCCTTTATTTTTACAGGGAGAATGTTTTATTCTAGAAGTTCTCTTAAGGCTTCCTGAAGCGGTTATTAATGCAAGGAATTCCCAGGGATATGTCTGGGCATAACTTTATATGATTTTTCCAGCAGTGGGCATATGTATAAGAAAGTGAATGACATGCAAATCCACAAACTGCTCAAACTCCTGCTTTTAGGAGCACGGCTAATAAGGAGGATCTGAGACTTTAGGCTTGACTTATACTGAGGAAATATGCGCATGTTAGAAATAAACCTCTATGGCCAGTTTATTCTTAGAAGTGAATAAGCAGGAAAAATATTAAAACAAGTTCTCTCGCTCCTCAGAGTGGCTTGTATTTACCAGTGGTGGGGAGGATTATTGCCTTTTTGGCCATGTTTTTTGAAGAAATGAGATTAATGTGATTATCCTGTCCAGTTCCTAATGTGACGGAAGGGTAAGGTCTCAAAGATGCCAAGTTCCCACAGGTTTATCAGGAAAGTGCATCCTCATGAAGGAAATAAAAGAAAAAATGCCTTGACTGAGGAAAAGATTGCAGTGTAAGCTCGCGTTTATTGGACACCAGGGAATCCATTTAGACTGTCATAAAGGATCCAAATCAAAGCTTCATTTGAGGCTTGTGTGAAATGCAAATTTCAGTGCTCATAGAAGTGCTTGCTTTGAAGTGTTTCTGTAATCACTCGTGTATGTACAAGTACACTTCCAAGGCTTATTTTGGTTTTTATTTTTATAAATTGTGAGGCTTTCTGTGGACCTGGAAGTTGTTGTTCAGTGTATATAAGTGTTTTACCTTATTATAAATATTTAGAACAAGTGGATTCAGTCATGTCTGGAATGACAAGTAGGGTACCTGTCTATATCTTACTTTATTTAAAGGTGGTTTCATGGGCATCTCTCTGGAAGAGAAGCTGAAAAACTATTAACAGAAAAAGGAAAACATGGAAGCTTTCTTGTGCGTGAGAGTCAAAGCCACCCTGGGGACTTTGTTCTTTCTGTCCGGACAGGAGATGATAAAGGAGAGAGTAATGATGGGAAATCTAAAGTGACACATGTGATGATTCACTGTCAGGTATGATGGAGCATGAGTTTCCTTAACAGGGCTACTTCCATGGGCAGCGGGTTTATTCTAACAGGAGGGCCGTCTGACACTCTGGTACAGAACTGAGTAC